TATATATCCCTATGGTGAGTTAATGGTAAATCAAGTAGTTATGCTGTTTTTTGTGAAGATTTGGAAAATATAAGAGCTTTCTGCAAAAATTAGGAAGTAATTTAAATTTAATATTCTATTAAAAACAGAATGAAACTATATAAAGACAATCAAAATGTTACAGTATATTTAGAATATGTGTTTTTTCCTCCCTTAAATCATATTGCCTTAATTCCAAATTACATTAGCAAAACATTATGTCCCTTAAGCGTGGCCCTGCACATGGAAAAAAATGGATCAGAAGATCCATAACTGTCACAGTTTGCTTGTTGCCTCCTCACCTAATTCTTCCCTGGTTGCCCACGTGAGAGAAAAATAGGGGTAAGAAGTAGCCTGGATCAGAAGGCATGAGCAAAACGGTGGTTTACATTAAGTCTTATATGGATATTGTGAAATAATCAGTAAGTATGTGAACTAAAAATTAATTCTCTAAAGGCCAACTGAAGAAAGAATCTAATTCTAACTATTTGATATTCACACTCTTTCACTGAAAACAAAACTGAGCCGCAACACTTCAGAATTCAACATAGGATTATTTCCTTTATTCTAAAGAAAATATAAGAATGCTAAATTGGAGGTTACCTTAAGTATATTCACTTCTTTCAAGGCATCATTTCTTTCACGCTTAAGCCTTTCTATTTCATCTGCTTCTAAAGAATCACAGGGCAGAAGCTGTCAATATTAAAATATAAGAGAAAAGTTATGCATGAGATGCTAATTATGAGAACTAACATAAACATTCTTTTTGACTAATCGTAGGCTCTTGCATTCTGATAACAAAATTCAGTTTCTTACTTCAGAGTCATTTGATTAGATAAAAGAGAATATTAAAGTAATCTGGGGCAATTTCATTCATTTAAGCTTAACCTTACATTGCTGTTACTTATTACAGAATCTAGATGATTAGAAAGTATACTGACTCTGTTCTCACCTTCAAGATTTTTATTTTAACAATATAATTTTCCTTAAAAGTCCAAATTCCCACATTGAGTTTATAATGTCAGAAAGACTTTAGAAGTTGTCAACCTAAACTATTTCCTAAAGACATTCATTTCAAGAGCATGGCATCTAAGGCTAACAAAATGCTGTATATTATCAATCAAGATGGTTTACATGAGCCCAGTAAAGTATATTTATCAATTATGTATCTGGTTTTAACTAAATGAAAAGTAATGCAACAACAGCCAAATGGCTTAAAAATGTCCCTGCTCAGAAGCTGCGGATTGAAAATAACATTAATAATTCATACAAAAATGAATAACAACAACAAAAAATATCAGAGATGGCAATTTCTTTTATGTTTACCATGATCTCTTTGACAGTCAATTGCAAGATAAAAAAAACAATGACAATCTAATCAGAGATAAAAATCCAAGTCTAATTATAGCCATCTTCTGTGTGGAAGCTATAAAAAAGCTAAAAAAAAATAGTATAGAAATATAATTTAAAGGGTTAAGTGGAGAAAGCAACTGTTATATAAGCGTGGGCTTAAAACAGAGCCCTTTAGATAGGAGAGGTGAATACAGAGTAGGAAAAGATAATAGAAATAATTAATAATATCAATCATTTATTGGAAACTTACTATGTGCAGATGCATTGCTAAGGACTGTATACATTCAATATTACAGCCTTTTAAAAACCCTGTCTCCATTTTATAGATGAGGAAACGACCTCTGAAAGGTTAGCATTAATAACTTGCTTAAGGTTTCACAGCTAATTAATGGCCATTCCAAGATTCCCACAGAGGTCTGACATCATAGTTTGTGATTTTTATTAACTATTCAACACAAATTGTGGTGGAATGGATGATACTCAAATTTGCTTTCCAAACCCTAGAATAACAGATGTAGGAGTTATTCTTGAAGTTTGGGAAGAAATTTTTTTCCCTAAACATTATTGGTTCTCTTTTCCCTGCCACATTAGCTTTTGGGTATTTATGGCTATTGTCTGTAATTTATATGATCTCATATTCTTTATGTGTCTCTGTTACTCTCTCAGAAGTATTCATCACAAACACTAGCAAGAATTCATTCTATATTGTTTTAGTTTTGAACACATTTTCAAACATAACATTATTTCCCAAAGTGTGTTTCAAAGGATACTAATTGGTTTTGTATGAAAGCAAAATTGGGTGGTAGTGATTATGGTAATGGTATAGGATTTAGAAAAATTAACCTTCTTTCCTACACGGCTTCCAACAGTCTTAATATGCTAATGAAGATTTGAATTTTCAAAAAGCAAGTATAATTTAATAACTTGTCACACTTCCCCAAGTAATTTGACCATACCACACCCCTGACACACTTACCCTGCTGCCTTTATTATTTTGGTACTAGCTCATGGAACTAAAGTTTGCAAAGCACAATTTGGGAAACACTGCTACTCAACATTCATATAAACCTATTCTATTTTCTTTTCCTAAGAAGTGTAATAAACAGGATTCAAAAGTTTAAATAAAATTTTAGATAACAGGCCGGGTGTGGTAGCTCACTCCTGTAA